AAAATAATCGACTGGACTGTACTACGACATTACCCCCCTCCGAGAATGTTGGTCGTCCTCGAACAACAACTGCAAGGTGTGGTCTTGAATATCTGATCGGTTGGCGGCACGGGAAGCGACAGGATCGAACCAAGGGGAGGTGGGTGCTGTCTGAAAATGGACGGGACGTAGACGGTCGGTATGGACCCAGGAGCTATATTCCTTGCCGTTCATGTCTTTTAGCTTGTAGGTGTCCGAGTCTAAGTTACGACTGATCACCAAGTACGGTCCTTTCCAATTGTACTCCAGGCTTAACTTTTGCTCGTTACGTAATAGAACATGGTCACCAATAGCAAACGTTTGCGGTTTTAGTGTGGCATCCCAAATAGCTTTATCCCGCTGGGCGTTGGCGCGAAGCCGTTCCGCGGCAGAGGCGCGAGCTTCATGTAAGCGCAACAGCGATGGTCGGCGAGCATCTACAAGTGTCTTGGGATCCGGTTCTTGTTCTTCAACTAGTAAGGGCCGCGTCATATCACCAGGAAGGCGGGGTTCTACTCCGTACACCATATAGAACGGGCTCATGCCCGTTGTGCGATGCTTGCGCACACAACACGCAAAGACAGACGGTTCTAAGAAATCATCCCAGCGATGGATGGCACCATTGGTATATTTCCGAAGCATAGATTTAAGAATGCCGTTGGTGCGCTCAACCTTGCCATTCGTACGTGGGTGGAAAGCCGAAGTCAACTTGTGATGGATTTTGGTGCGACCCAGATACAGGTTCAATACTTTGGACATGAAGTTGGCGCCGCGATCCGTCAGGATTTCGTTAGGGCAACCGAACTGCATGACGATCTCTTCAAAAATGAAATCGGCAATGGCTTGGCCTGTGGCATCAGGGACGGCTCGTGCGATGGTCCAATTGGTGGTGTAGTCGACGGCGACCAAGATCCAACGGTTGCGGCGCATGGTGGTCGGTAGTTCGCCAATAAAATCAAGATGCCAACGTGAGAAAGCAGGTGGGACATCCAAGGGTCGCATGGGTGCATGATGTGTGCCGCGGTCGGGGTTGGCTGCCAACTGGCACTGGGGGCAATTACGTAGCCATTCCTGGATGTCTTCTTTCATGTTCGGCCACCACCAACGTTTCTTGATGACGTCGTACAGAGTTTCCATCCCGGCGTGTCCAAAACTGGTATGAAAGTGATGAACAAGATCGGCGCGGCGAGCGAACAGAGCAAAGCGGATTTCTTGCACCTCAGATCCGACCTTGACTTTGCGATAAATTCGGTTGTCTTTGACTGTAAATTTGTCCCGATGCTTCACCAAGAGATCCCTGACTATGGCCGGCCACTGTGTTTCGGCAAAATTGTAGAATTTCGGCCAGTCGGATTCCTCAATCGACTTTATGGCGTAGAGGTAATTAGGTTCCAGCGACTTCTCTTCCGGAACGCAGTGAGGTCCATCTCGCCGAGACAGCAGGTCAGGTACATGATTGTCCTTTCCACTCTTGTACTGAATCTCGGGGTCGTATAGTTCTAGTTCGGCTATCCAACGGATCAGGCGTGGTGGCGGTGGTTTTGTGCGGCTCCGGAAGTACAACAAAGGGTGATGATCGGTGCGTACAACATAAGGTCGACCTTCGACAAAACAACGCCATGTGCGCAGTGCATGTAGTATACCCAATAGTTCCCTCTCTTGGGCTGGATAATTGCGTTCGGCCGAGGACAGCTTCTTGGATTCAAAAGCGAGCGGATGTAGCTGGCCATCCTCTCCCTCTTGCAGCAGTACCGCACCTATACCAAAGTTAGAGGCATCCGTCTCGATGATATACGGTAGGTCGGGGTTCGGTGGTAGCAGTATCGGTGCCTCGGACATGCGGGACTTGATAAGGTCGAAAGCGGTCTGGCATTCTGGCGTCCAACTGATCGACCGCTTTTTCGCACCCGTCCCCTTCGTCAGATCGGTTAACGGTGCCGCTATTGTCGCGAAATCACGGATAAAACGCCGGTAATGAGAGGCCAAACCGACAAACTGCCGTACTTCTTGGACGTTGGTCGGCTGCGGCCAATCGCGAATAGCTTTTACCTTGGTTTTGGACGGTAGAATCCCTGCAGCAGAGACCTGGAACCCAACGAATTCCAGCTCAGTCTTGAAGAATTCGCATTTCTTCAGGTTGGCCACTAGCTTAGCATCCCGTAAACGATCAAGAACCTGGCGTACGTGTTGGTAATGCTCCTTTTCGGACTTGCTAAAGATCAGAATGTCGTCGAGATAAACCAATGCAAAAACATCCAAGCAGTCGCCCAAAACGGAATTCATTAGCCGTTGGAACGTGGGAGGGGCATTCGTCAATCCAAAGGGGAGCACTTGGAACTCGTATGATCCGTAGCGTGTGTTGAATGCTGTCTTGGGAATATCTTCCTCTCGAATCCGTACTTGATGATAGCCGCTTTTCAAATCGATACTTGAGAAATATTTGGCACCACCGATTCGTTCCAAGCATTCGTCGATTCGAGGGAGTGGATGCGAGTTGCGTTTAGTTACCTGATTGATTGCACGGTAGTCCACACAGAGGCGCATTGAGCCGTCCTTCTTGCGCACGAACAACACCGGGGCGCCCCATGGAGACGCGCTAGGGCGGATCAAACGTAGATCTAAGAGCTCTTTGAGCTGCTTACGCAATTCGTCCAGCTCGAGTGGGCTCATCTTGTATGGTGCTCGATTGATGGGTGCTGCAGCACCTGTGTCGATGACATGGCTCACCTCACGCACAGGTGGTAGTCCTGGTAGTTTATCCTGGAAGACTTCTGGGTATTCCTTGCACAGTGCGTGGAGTTTGTCTTGCTGGGGTTTCTTCTCCTCTTGGTGCTCGGTACGCACGTAGCACAAGTACAGCTCATCTACTTGATCCCGTGTAACCATCCGGGCGACTTGGCGGTGTGAGATAAGGTAGGCCAGCTCCGGAATAGGGCGATCGTACTTTGGCCGAAGTGTGTACTGAATCCCATTGACCGAAAACGTCCATGTATCTTGATCCCAATCCGGTACAGGTTTGATGTTCTTGATCCAATCGCGACCCAGGATCAAGTCGAATTTTGTATCGAGAACGAACGCAGAAATGTTGTGGGTAAAACCAGCGGCATCTAGTGATAGACTGACAGAGCGGTCGATTGAGAACTTATGGCCACCGGCGGTTTCCACTTGCTGGTCCTTGACATAACGCACCGGGCAACCCACAGCCAACTGAGGTGACACATATGACGAGGTAGCGCCACTATCCAATAATACTTCAATCGGTTTCCCATTGCAGGACATGTTGTACAGGGGTAACTCGGTATTCTTTATTGCCAATAGTGATTCAATATGTCTAACGTCAGCGGCAAGCGCTTTTCGATCATCCTCGTCTTGCTCGGCCGGGGGATCGTCAGACAAATCGATCAATGGTCTCTCCGATGGGCGCGGTTCTTGTGTTGGGACAGTTATACCAGCAGGCGGATCTGAGGTAGGGCGTTGGGATTGGGTGACCAGGTTGAGAGATGGACGTGCGCGCGAAAGGACTCCCTCTATTCCTGACGCGCGTTGGCTTTTAAATCGCCATGTAGAAATTTATCAGACGAACCAGACCGAGAATAGCGCGGCGACGGGCAATTGCGAGCGAGATGGCCACGACCATCACAATTGTAACAGCGGCGAGGGCGATTTTGCTGGTGCGATCTGCTTGTGCCTTGAGGACGGCGGTTGATCACATCCAAATCCATAGGCGTGGGACCCTCAGCCTGTTGGACCATGATCGGAGCAGGATGTGTTGTTGGGCGGTGGATATCCGAGTAGTGGCGCTCCGTAGGATTGCCGTTTCCGGCGGCATACTCCTTCATTGCTTCGTACGACTCGGCAGCATTATACGCGGCAAGCAGAGTGGATGGTTCCTTCATCAGAACGGGGAGGCGAGCGTCCAAGTCGAGTCCATGAATGAACGCATCAATCGCGTCCTCTTGGTCCATGCCCGGCAGGTCCAGCATAATATCCCTAAATGTGATCACGTACTCTCGAATGGTGCCAGTGGAAGTGGTACCTTGTTTGAGCTGGCGGAGCTTGTTGCGGGCTACCTGGGCGTAGTTGCGTGGCTTGAACTCGCCACGAATGGCCGCACAAAAGTCTTCCCACGTCTTCGGCGTCTGGTTGGTATCGGCATCTGGACTGAACGACATTTCCAGGTGTCTCCACCATGTTGCGGCACCGTCGCGTAGGAGCGTCGAAGCGTAGACCACTCTTTCAGGGTCGCTGAGTTCGGCATGATCGACGTACTTATCGACGGTGTGTAACCAGGCTTCCACCGCTGACGACGAGCGATCGCCACGAAAGAGGTCAGGCTGTACAGGTTTGACCTTCATGCCGGGTACCGAACGGTGCTTGGATTCCTCGCGCAGGGCCTTGATTTCTTGTTGCTGTGCTTGCATTTGTTGCATCATCACATGCATTGCCTCGAGAATCGCCTTGGAATCGGTCATCGTGTTTTGCTCTTCGTCTGAATCGGAAATGTTATTGTCTTGAAAACGGTGTCGTTGGAATGTTGTTTTTTTAAACTTTGCTTGCGATGAATCACTAGGCATCAGCTACCAAATGTCGTCTTTTTATCAAACTTGGATACCACTGAGAAGAGACGACGTCCACTGAGAGAATAACCACGAAGAGATAACCACGGAGAGATAGAACCACACAGATAGTCGTCCGGACAATATATGATGATGTTTTATTACGATAAATGTCCCATTATTTATACTGTATTGACTTGTAAGAAATGAGTGCAATGCTGTCAAGATTGCTACTGATGACTCATGTTTAGCAACCATTGTCATTCGGACTTTGTCTAAAAAGTGCTACGCTCCGCGGTAATGGTCATGTAGCCGGTGATTAAAATAATCGACTGGACTGTACTACGACATGTTACACAAACTATTTTGGTCGAGCAAAAAAAGACCGAATAACCATCCGAATGATTGGTGGATTCTGATATGAAATGCCCTCGATCGGGATCGAACCGATGACCTTTAGATCTTCAGTCTAACGCTCTCCCAACTGAGCTACAAAGGCGTTACTTGTTTGACACCCCCAGGTAAAGATCTTCTGGCAGACCACATTCCTGTTTCAGTGCCCAGGACGTAAAGCCTTTTTACGCGGTCCTGACAATCCCACGTGACACATCCGTGCCACCTTTTTATTTTTTTTTTTTCCTAGACGACCGCTCTTTCAAGACGAGCTATATCTTCTCAACCCATTTTCACGCTAAATATTTAATTTCTGTTAGTACAGAGCTAGCTAGATCCTTCCTTAGTTTATTGCTTGCACTAGTTTAGTGTCCCTTTATCAGTCCGCCTACATCTCTTCTCTTCGTTTGTATGCTCCTATGTCATCAACCCATCTCTGAATTTCTCGATATCATTCATCTAGCGTTATTGTCCTTTCCTTTAGTCTGGGGACAACATCCTTTTAAGCGCGCCCAAATGGACGAATAAACCAGATTACCAAGAGTATCTCTTTTTCACCTTTTGGTCACTTTTATCCATAAGGATTACCCCTTTATTTATTTTTTTTACCCAACCTTCAAAACCCCACCGTTTGACTTATTGCTGTGACGAAACAGAGAAGTCATCCGTTTGCCATCGTTTGATTTGCACACCCTTTTGGTATTTCTTTCCTTGGCCGTATCGATTTTTGGAGTCGGTCGACGCGATCAAGGAGCCCGATTTTGCGAGTGAATAGTCCCGTTATACTATCCTCTTGCCCCCGCCGCCAACCTTAACATTCATCCTCTCTATTCTTACTACTGTTGTATCCCCGGAGCATATTCTCTCCTTCAGTTGTACCGACCGTGTCATGTTAACACGGTGATGCAAATATTCTCTAGCTACCTATTTTCAGGTTCGTGAACTGTAGCCTCACGGTCAACGCGATTCGTGAGATATTTATCACGTGATTCCTTTTTGGTCAGACGGAATTACTCTCTGCCCTGACTTACTTTTCGGACATTGTCCAGTTATTCCACTCTTGTTAGCTACCCATTTCGCTCACTAATTTAGCCTTTCATTTATCACCGCGTTTAGCGTATTCTTTCTGAGCATTGTCATGGTAGAATGGGCTGAGATAGCCAAGCTGTATTAATATATATATAAAGTCCGGAGAATAGGGAAGTCGGCTGCCTCTTTTAAGCGGATGGGTACCATGTGGACTTTTTGATCATGCAAAAATGCTGTGTGCTTTGGCCTTTTTTATCTTTAAAGCCTGAACATAAAATACAAACTATATCAAAGCTGCTTTCGCTGCCTCGTTTCTACTTCCGGCTGAGTATAGTCTTGGCAATTTTGCACCCAGAGAGGACGACTTCCATTTCGTCTGGTTTTAATCCTGAATTAGGAGCACGGATCACTGTCTCCTGCAAAAAGAAGAGACAGCCTTGTGCTAATGTTCGCATGTCCATGATCTTTCCAAATATAGTGGCAAGAGCCTGAGGGCCACCGTCCTTGGCTTGCAAAAAGAGATGCACAAAGAAGAGCTCCATCCAGAGCCGGCCTTTGCGCCCAAGAATCATGAAATTGACACTCCTCAAGATACTGAGTGAGAGGGAGTCACTGACAACGAGGCCAGCATAGAATTTAGCCACGTTCAATATGCGCCCTACGCGGACTTTGCTCTCTTCTCCTGAAGTCCTGTCAAAGCTTTCGGAAGTGATCCGGTCTAAACCGCCCACTTCACGTTCTCCGCATTCACGTAGGAAATCCCACAGACAATACTGGAAGGTCACCTTGAACGAGTGGTTCACCGAACAAAATCGCCTGCCGACATGCAAATAAAACGGATTGAATGTTTTCTCCTAGATATTCGAACCATTAATTTTCCACAACCAATTGAACCGATGCAGCAGAAAAGCGCACTTACGTTGCCAGTACACTGTACAAGAACTCGAGCAATTTCTCGCTGCTGGACTTCGGTAAGACCGAGTTTCATTAGCCTTTCAAAAGCATCCAAATAGTCCTGAAGCGAAAGAAAAATATTCATTAACAGGAACTCCACAAACACAATCTTAAACTTTACTTGGACAACTTACTTCTGAGCTCATGATGGTTACGAAAATACTTCGACGCACATCGGTGTTCATACCCTGCTTCCTCGCAAGCTTGAGCAGCGCTTCTTGAAGAGTTTGTTCCTTTTGTAAATCGCTCGCAACCTTGGCGGATTTCTTGTGCTTGCTCTCCGTGCCAACCAGATTGTCCCGCCAAGATGCGCCAACCAGCCACCATTTTCCCTTTGTCTCAATGTTGTGGATATCTTCAAGGCTGACACGTAATGCTTCTGCGCTCTTTGTGGTTCGCTTTCTATCCAGGTTGCTCAAGAACTTTTTGAGTTTCATTACCAGCTCCTTGTCAGCTTGACCAGAGGCGGTAGGACCGTTCTTGATCTTGTTATTCTTGATATTGGAAAGGGTTTCCAACATGAATTTGTGACGCAACCTAGGTAAGTAATAAGCATGTGTGGATTGGATGGTATCCGGATCATGATCTGTAAGCTTGTACATACGTAACAGACGAAGCATCACGTTTTTGAGTCTCTTTCTGGATTTCATCGATAATATCCTTCAACGAGGTTGGATCGTCGGTACGAAGCTGAGCACCAGCAGCTATCGACGTATGGTTTAGTATGACTAAGATCTACTGTGTTCTCAACCGAAGATATTGATCTACCTGTCACAATCTTCATAAGAAGGTCAACGTCGTACTCATTCAGACTCTTAATCAACAGATGAATAATATCATATATGAGCACACATGCGATCACTTGGAAATTATAGAGCTCGACCGCAAGAGTCAGCAAATTCTTGGCTTCCTTTGCGCCGTTGGCGCCTTCCTCAGTCATATCATCGCCATTTGCCATCGAATTCTGGCAGTTATTGTAGTCGCGTTCAAAATTCTCCACGAGCGCCTGGACGAAAAAGGCGGCTAAAGCGTTTACAGGTTACATTATCACCGTAATAAAGAATGGAGACCGAAAGAAGTTACCAAAATCAACGCCGATCAACCGATAAAGAGCGGCAATAATGGCGGCATAGGGAATGACGAATGACTCTTGTAAGCTGCCACGAAGAGAAATAGACGCCAATATAATATTGGTTATAGTCGAAGTGACATCTAAACGCCGATTTGTGTTAATACAGATAAAATACAGTGGAGTAGATTTTAATATACATTACCATGGCGAGGATATGTACTATAGCATTTTTCAATATCCACAAGGATTTTGTCGATATTGCTCTCGTTCAATCTATTCAGAAGACCTTGAAGGACGCGATGAAGTTTGATCTGTTGCTCGCTCTTAGTATCAGCAGCCTTTCGAAGGTGAGGTGGGACATATTTTGAAGGAGTAGAAAGTTTGGAGGGCGTCGTAGTGATGTCTTGCGATTTATGTTGAGAAACCTAGAGTAATTGTCGTCAGCAGGGCGGTACAATCACATTGAAAATAGCACGTGCCATCTTTTCTTCTTCTTCTGCTTTCTTCATTTCCTTGTCAACACCGGATGTTTCGTCATAGGTCATTTCTTCATCTTCATCTTTATCACTGTCTTGCTCATCGTCGCTCTCTGTCTCTCCATCGCTAGCCTCTTCCTCACTCATTTCATCTGACTCCATATCAGTACCGTCGTCGTCGTCGTCGTCGTCGTCGTCTTCGCTTTCATCGAATGCACCGAACAGCGAGTTCATTTTCTAGACGATACCGATTAGCAGCCATTTTCTGTCGTTGTGTCTGCTACCAACCTTCTCAGCTTCCGCTTCAGCAGCCATCTCTTTTGTTTTGGCGAGTTGTCGCTTTTTTTTCAAATAGGCGGAATCGTCCTCCTCCGGTCCTGATTGTTCGTCGCTTCCGGCATGATCTCCATCCAAACCGTCCAACAAGTCCAGCAGGCCGTCTTCTGCAAATGCCTTGTCATAGCCAGCCTTCTTTTTTTTATTCATGCCGAGTTTCTTTTCCCAATAGGCAATGTCGCGGTCATCCTCCTCAAACTTGTTCTTTCCAGTGTCACTGACCAAATTATCCTGCTCTAGTAGCGAGAACAGGTGTGGATTCGATCGTGATAATCGATCGAGCGCTTCTTTATCATTCTTGGGCGTACGATCCGATTGTTTTGGTGTCTTCTGACGGGTGAGTTCGGCAGACTTTGTGGCCACAGCCGCTTTTCCCTTCCTTTCGCTGTTTACGGGCTGTGATGGTTTCTTTGATGGTTTTTGCTGAACGTTTTTACTTTTTGCTTCTTCGTGTATCTTTTGTCGTTTTCTGGCGGCCTCCATCAGTTGTGCATGGTGCTGTGCTTTTCGCTTGCCCTTCTCCTGGCGTTTTTGCTTCCGCAGTTCTTTTCGATTGGCAGCCCTGTTGATCTTGTCGTTTTTGAAGTGACGATCGTCTTGATCTGCGCAAAAAGATCAATAAGAGAAGGGTTCTATACAAAAACGCACGTAGTGTCAAAACAGACTTTGTTCTTCAAGTTCTTCGAGCATTTTCTCTGGCATGCGTGAGCCGATGCTCGGATCGTGAGGTCTGTGACCTCGGTTGGTGTTAGTAGGTCTCATTCCGGTAATTGAAGTCAAACTTTCTTTGAAAGAGATGGGCAAATTTTTATTTTTATTTTTATGCCCTTCTGGGCCGCATCCCGAGAGTCCGCTCACGTCTTTCGGACCACCGGTGACGCTCTGAGCGGCTGCACCAGCGGCTTGCTATTCTCAACATGGTCTGGTGCTTGTTGTACCATAGCATCTGGGAGTGATGGCAGGAGCACGGGCGAAGACAGAAGGACCAAATTCTGAGCGGCCATTGCTTCCTCATCAGCGCGGACGTGATGGTGGTGGTGCTGCTGCTGCCCATAGAATGTCTGTGGCGGCGTCGGCGGCAATTCGCTCCGTAACAACAATAATGCCTCTTGCTGCTCTTTGAAGGCAGCTTCTCGTGACTGATGGCATTGCACGGAATGCTCAATTTGATCAATGTTCTGGTCAATCATGCCATTCTGGACTTTGAAGCGGGCAAATGCCAGTCTGACCTTGAGCTGT